GCCGATCTTGTCATTTAAAGCCTCGAACGTAAACTTTGCAGAATTGTTTTTTATGCATAGCATCCTTTTGTTTCTACCCGGGACATTTGCACTACGGAACAGTGATTGTGTTGCAGCTGAATAGTCATCCTCTATGGGGCGAATTAAAGCGGTTGTTTACCTTGGTTTGAAGGTTCAGTTATACAGCGCCATCCCGGACTGACTGCTGATCTTCTGTTTTTGCTTTCACAAATGCAGCACTAACATGCGCTCGCATTCAAAACGCATGGTGCATGGCTAATCTTGCTCATTATATATATATATATATATATATATATATATATATATATATATATATATATATATAAACACAAATGTTTACAGATACCGAAAAATTTAGGAACAGGAGAAAGAAAACAAAAAGCTATGTAGGCGAACATAATTTTTCGCCTACATTATATTCTTGACCAATGGACTTATTGCGTGATTTGGAAATAAAAACAGTCAACTTGGGAGAATAAAAACTTTTTTGTTTGTATACTGCACGCCATTTTCAGTTTTTTGGGATCGCGCACAGGAAAGGATGCATTCACAACACTGACTTCGGCTCGATGCCACATCCCACATTGTATCCAGCCGAAGACAATCGGAATCTTTCGGGCCCCAGCCGGGGAGTCGGAAAGCCCCAAAGGAAGCTAGATCCGAGCACAACCTCTCTAACCCTCTGCGCCACGTCACGGTCGGCCCACCTCGCTGTTTCTTGCAACCTGGACTGATGTCTGCAAATAGTGCATGGTGGGGCACCGGTTGCACACGCATTCGTAGGATATGCCCTAAGACGATGCAGTGAAATTATTTTGCTCAACGGAAGACTATCTGATCGTAACACAGGTCGTTATTCGTGCGATGCTCCCACCATACACAGGCGATGTTGCGCAGACAACGATTGTCGAATACGGATAACAGTTGGACGTGATTTATTCAGAGGCCAGGTTTCGCAGCCATCGAGCAATACGGTACGTACTGTTCCGCAATAAACACGCCCTTCTCATGAAAGGGACATGTCGCGCCGGCGCTAGAGATGCCGCAGATTAGCAAACGCCAAGCTGATTTTCATCGCGTGCTGAGAGACCTCCTCGGTTACACCCCGCCAACTCCCGAGGTAGACAAAGCTTTTGACTACTCCCAGGATGTTATTACCCAACGAAAGTGCCGGAACAGGTGTCAGCTAACCTTGGGATAATCGGTCGAAATGTCCGCATTAACATTGGAACTCTCTTTCATCACATTCATTTTGTAATCCTTCCGTGCTTATGACTCGATGAAGCACTGGAACAGCCCTCACTTGACGACCATTATGCATTATTACCCTCGAAAAGATCTGGCTTTGCCTAGAGTTGGCTGGATTTTACGCTCGTCCAAAAATGTGTTTTCATGGAATGCCCCCCGTATAACAACTGCTGAGGACTTCTTACTCACTAACTCCTAAAGGCGAAGGTATCTTCCTTAAATTCAGAAGACGAAAACCTTATTTCCCTGGGGCTATAGCCAAATCGATGATTTGCAAGCAACTAGTAAATCTAAGTGACTAGAAATCCCTGATTTCGAAACTCCCAAAACGAAGTGGCAGTGGCTCTATTACATTCTTGCCGTGACTGTCGCAGGATGGATTGGGCGACACGAGTTCTTGGGGATGCAAATCGTGCACAGATCGGCCTCCAACGGATTTTTGCTTTCATATATCCCCCTTTCGCTACAGGAAATTACCGGTTAAGGTTTTGGATAGCGGGCAATATTGAATCCACGAAACAAGCTATGGATAGATTATCTCATCCCAAAGAATCTGGTACCATGTTTCGTCTAATACAGTTTAAACGCAGACAACAGTGAGATGTAATAATTACGTTCAAATAATGACTCGAAATAGGCCAAGTGAATACTTATTCGGTACACAGCCTGGCCTCAGATAGGTGATAGGTATGCATGTACTTGGTAAGGTGGTCCAAAAAAAGTTGCACATTTTACGAATAAATAAACTGACTTTAGCCACACCAGTAAAGAAGTATCACAGTAGGCTTTTGCATAGAACTAGTTATCTAAGACAGCATTTGTTTGAATTCAAGATACCTCTCGCCCAACCCAACCACCCGATTAACCGTATTACAAGACATCTTTCAGTCCTTTGATTCATTATGACCAGCCCATTCCAAAGCAGCCAAAAACGCTATCTGACACGCAATCGATTGGAGTGCAATAACATCGTGAGTAGCTGTAGGGGAATCAGATTATTGCATATTAAACAAGGGTTCAGTTTGATTTGAGACGGAGCCGGGTGGAGGACTGATGAGGGAGAGCAAAGCTCGTTCGATATCACTGGGAGGTTAGACGATGTGGTGAGCCTGGGAGTGGTGGGGGGGGAAGCCTAAATGGACAATTTCAAGGCATAGTTACACCAAAGTCCAAATAGGTAGAAGTGCTAGGAGAGCAAACAGATGTCGTGATCTCTGTTGTTAAGATTGGAGCGGTCGATGGGACGGAGTTGGTCGCTGAAGTGGTGGTAGCGATGGCAGTGTTTTGTCCACAATCGGGAAGAGTAGATTGATAATCGGTTAGGTCGTGTGTATTCGAGGTATCGGGAACTCTGTTTTGACCAATAAGGTAGCCCACTGAGAAATTCGAGCACTGATCAGTTCCGGTGGTAAATTCCCCCGGTGATGTCGCCGTCGTATATATATGATGCGTGTCGGGAATGGAAACCGAGGTGGTCAAATTAGTTGATCCACCATAGCACCATATCAACGGTAGGAATTGTGATACATTCTGTACAGAACACGGATTGCTCTCGTCGGTGAGCAGAACTTGACCGAACTCGTATGGAGATTTCGGCATGCCTGAGTCTGAGATGGCACCAGTGACGTTGGTATCGTCGATATCACTACGTAACGTAGCAGAAAACGAATAGCCCGACTGGTTTCGTGGAATAGGTGGACTTGAATAAAGCATGGTCCTGGGAGAGTTTGTTTCCGGGACAGGAGATGGGAATCGTGGAGAGTGGGAGATCCCATCCGCTCCCAAGACACCAGGTTCACCGGAATTCAATAAGATATTGCAATCAAAGGTGACGAAGTCCGATTGATCAAACTGTCCACCAGGCACATCTTTGTCGGACCTCGAACAACTTGTTTCCACATCAAGTGATTCAACCGGACGCCAAATCCCATCTCTGGCCCCAGATTTGTCGACCAGTATCGGAGAAGACGGATACGAGCCGAACAGGTTTTGTGAACTAATCCGTGCAACCGTATCCCCCACATTTGATCCTGAATCCCCAGGAGAGTCATTGTCCATCGGATCCAAGTGTTCTTCCACGTTCAGGGATGACTTCTCATCATCATCTGCGTGTGCGACTTTATTCGGGTCCGTATTTAACAGCTGCACTACCGAATCAGTCTGATTGAATATAAAGCACAAATTGGAATCGCCATTCTGTCCCGAATTCGTCCACAGATTCGATCTATCTACTTCAGCAGTGGATTTAGGCGATGTTGTCTGTATCGGCAGAGTTGTGTTCAATGTACGTGACGTGTGACGTGAATCCGAATAGTTTAAATAATGCGGGACAGAATCACTATCCGGCGTACGAACCTGCTCGATATCGAGTCCGACATCGGCAGGAACACAATCATCCTCGTCATGCTGATTCAATGAGGTAGTCGCTTCCAGAAGTCCGTTCGATGGATCCAGATCGGACAAATCGACTACGTAGACCGGGCCCAAAGATTCGGAGTCATTCAATGGTTCGTTTGAATCCTCGGCGTTCATCAGAGGCATATCAGTCTCATGACAGGTGACCAATTCGGACGATTCACCGCTGACCAACGTATACATGCTGCTACCGGAGTCCGACTGGACAGTCAGTGCTGGTTGCGAGGAAACCGAGCATTCGGAAGGATTGTTATTTGTGGTGACAGTCACCAGAGAGGTCGCGAGTAACTGCAGAACAAAAGAACAAAACAAAACCGTGAAATGAAGTGATTGTTTAAAAAATGTCGGTACAAAAAAAATGAAAAAAATGAACACAGGCAGGTTATTAGATGTGTATCAGAGGTCCATCTTCTTGCCCTTTTATAAGGTCTACATATGCACCAACAGTTGAACAACTTGGAACCCAAACAATCTCAGTATCCCTAAGAAACTTTTGCTGATATGGAACTACTAGTTTTACCCGTGATACAGGCCTGTATTTCTACTTTATACTTCAGTCAAATACTATACAGTTGGTTTCAAGAAACTAGAGCCGTAGGCCACCGGACGCTTCCCTCAGATGGCGCATAGAGGGTTGGCCACCAGTATGATGATGAAGTTCAAGTAAGATGGGTATTGACATCCTAAATTGGCGGTCGTGAGCGATGAGCAGCTGAGCTCGAAGACGCTGTACGATTTTGCTAGATCCCCATTATAAAACCGTATAAATTTGGACCGCACTGCAACAAGGCGACTGCGGCCCTACATTAAATAAGGAAACTGCTCCTGTAGGACTCTTCTGGAAGAGGTCAATGAAAAAAACAATATACCGCTGGCTCATCTGGAATACCCAATCCACCTTGTAGGCTGCACCTGGATTTGCAAAGGTTAGAGAGATTCAACCTTAAACAAACAGGTCGGGTGAGGCCTTCGTAACAATGCTCTGAGGACATCAATCCGTAACATTATCCCACGAATCTCCGTGGATAATATACATGGAGCCGATTTATCCTACGGTGGGAGTCGAAGACGAAGATAGAAAATTAGTTGCCTACGCATCTGCGAATATACCATTGTTACTATTACGAAATAGCTGAAGTGCCATACGACTCAAACGACAATAAGCCTTATCAATCCAGGACCACAGGAAAACGATCGACTTACATTTGATCGTCATTGCCTAGAAAAATACTCGTCAGTCGCAAAACCACAGGCAAATAAGCTTGAGTTGACACCGGGGTAATCGAGTCGTTCGGTCACAAAGACAGGTTCGGTCACCACCGGTGTCAATTAAGGCCTGTTCGCCTGCGACTCACGGGACCGACGAGTCAGTTCTCATAAGTGCAAACAATTCCGCATTTTTCGGTTGTTCTCCACTTATCCTTCAAATCCGATAATTGGGTAAATTCAAAAGGTTTCATTTGGTGCGAATACGCTTTGTTAGACTGGGTTGATAAATGTACCCTCTCCATACCGAATGTCAGTATAACAGCCCGTATTTCTGTTGTGTGCGTTTGCGTTGTATCAGTAAGTATACTGTGACACGACACAACGTATATTATCCAAGATACAACGTATATATATTGTATTCACTTTAATACAACCTTTCTTGGTCCAAGGATGTTGAAAACATTTACATTAGAGCTCGTAATTGTCCTTCTACGCTTCAGATTCAAAAAGCTCCGAGCTCCCCTAAATGTAATTCTTAAATTTATGAGTGTGCATCGTTCCACACTAATTGTGCTGATTCACACTATTTCTCACTGGCCTAAAAGAGAAAGACTTTTCCAGACCTTTTAAACTTCTTTGCCGTTGTAGTGGCATTCCCAAGACTGCTTTGCTTGATTGTTTTGTTAGCAAGCATGCATGTTTTTAATTCGTTGTTCACATACCACCAAACGAAAATCATTCTTCATGTCCACCTCCATAAATATGTGTATCGTCTACGTACTTCTTTCAAATTTAGACTTCTGTTGTATATGTATAAACACACGCCAAAACAGCGTCCTTTCCAGTCTGGTTCGTATCTTAGTAACGGACGACTATCATCACCTATCGCGTTAGTTTTTCGTCAGGTCCAACTGTTTTTCATTTATTACGTACAGCGAATCGAACTTGGGTGATAAGTTTCACCACTATCTCTCAGCTGAACGCCAAATATGTCCTATTGAAGTCGTTTATGGTTCGCCGTGAAGAGGGCGAACTCACAATTTGAAAGAGGAAAATGCAGACACCATGAACCAAAAGGTCCAGTGAGACATGAACACGATTCACACTCAAACGGAATGGAAAGTTGACAAGGTCGTTACACTATCCCTTCCACGAAAGAACGTTGTCCTTACTGTTCCAGAGTCCTGTGTTGAGGAGGGGGAGTGCATTCTGGCAGGGTCGCCAAATGTCTGATGCTTGGCTCGTGTGTGCAGCAGGATGTCGACGGTCTAGGCCACCAGTTCGCATAACCAGGTGGATACCTATGATTACGGGGTGCATTCCTTCGACTTTTGAAAACAGTGATTGGCAACACAGTCACGGTTCAATTTCTTTGAACTTCACCCTTTACATTTTCGATGGAAAGATTCATTTTACAGGGTGCACTTGCTACCGACCAACATCGACCACCGAAATGAGAATGATGAACTGGTGTTAGGCAGTTTGCAGAACACGTCCCAGACGTCACGATCTAGGAAGATCGGTGAGCTTCACCGATAGACAAAACCATCTTATCGATAGTGTCATCTGGAATACGTGCGTCCGAGTGAGAGACTAAATTTATTCACTTATTCTATGATTTCCTTGATATGAGGTTATGGATGCATACGCGTGGTATACAGAAGGTTATTCTGCTTGCCAACTCATACACATCGTAGTACACTGCTACTCCTCTTGTACACCCCATAGGTCAGAAATAAAGTCTCCTGATGTCGTCTAGAGATCTTGGAGAATTAAAACGAAAAATGAAGTCGCACAAAGGAGTGACGCTTACTAAAAGCAACATTAAATTTCGACTATGCCCAAAACAGTGAGTTATGTTACCCGACTGTTCTTGACTAAAAACAAGACGGATTGTCTGGAGCCTTTCCAGACAATTCAATGCATATGAATAAAACCACTGATCGAAATTTTTAAAATACCAACCCACTTGGACAAATTGAAACACTTCCGGTTGGGTCGTTGATTTCGATGGACCCTTTTGTGCAACTAATTCTGAAGAGTTGTCTACGTTGGGTTCTCTGAGAACAGTTGAAGTCGTGGTGGTGGTGGTGGTGGTGGTGGTGGTCGACGTGGATGAAGCCAGAGCACAATCCAATTTGTTTTCCGACACCCCGGTGATGACTGTCGATTTTGTTGGTGCAGAGGAGCCAATCGGGGGAGATGAATGCGGTTCGGATATCTCCGATTGATCGATATCGGTCTCCAACGGATTCACTGAATAAGTTTTGTTCCCTCTGTGATCAGCACGGCCCGAAGGTACACGGCCAGTAGCGGATCGCATATGCATCTTAAACATATGCCGTTTCAAGTTGGATTGTCGAGTGAACGTCGTCGAGCATTGGGTACACTGGTGAAGTCGACGTTCTCCGTGAATTTTCTTGTGCCTCGAGAGCGTGCCTGCAGTCTGATAACAAGAAACAAAGCTGTGAACGGACAGGCTACTAACGGGAAAAAATACGCATCTGTTGGAAACCGAATGCTCGTCTAAACAAGAATAAGTGGGGCAGTTCTAAACACAACAAACGGAAAACGATAAGAATCGACAATGTCAATTTTCAAACCAGTACTGGATTTGCCAGACGGTTATACGATAGTCAAGTGTCACAGAGAACAGCTGGTTAAAATAATGGATAAGTATTTTTACAGTGATTAACCAGCAGACAATGAGAATTCAGCGCGCTCTGATAACCGAGCGCATGCCACTTTTACATTAGTAGGCCCGCTGGACCGAACTAGCGTACCGATAGACTGCTATTCCCGAATGAACCCAAAGTCGATCTAAAACAAAGTGAAAAATTACGAACATATCTCAGCTTGAGATTAGCAGAAAACGTGAAAGCGAGTACACGTAAAACCACTATCATTCAAAATACTCCGTCATGTTCACGACGGTGTAAAACCAGGGAAAAGACGAGGTCTGATGACGGCCTAACCCGACTTGCACGGCTATCCCCAATGACAAAGTCATTCTAATAATTATCGATCAATTCAATAAGTTATTGGAGTGAAATTCCATTCGTGGAAATCGAACTACCTAAATTGGTACTTAGTTCTGAACTGGCGAATTACTGGATCCCCGAAAGCCTCAGTGGACTCCAAACGTTAACTAGGTATCATTCTCTCACCATTTGAGGAATCCCTGTGCAATTAGTTCACACAGTGTGAAGGGACATTTACGGGAAACGGGAGAGAACAGGTAAAATGTTAGGAATATACATTCGGATTATCGAACCTCCAACAAACAAATTAACTGACTTGGATGCCACTCGGAAAGAGGTAAACTATCCAGCTCAAGCATATCCTTGGCTCAATGAACACTAACTGGATTGAACAACACCCCAGTTCCGAGTAGTTTGGCCGCGGAAACCGCGCTAGAGAGGCATACGGTTCGGCTAACTACCCAAAGTGCAGCTTTCACATTAGGCAAAAAAAGTCAAGTCAAGTCAAGTCAAAAATCGCTTTACTCATCCTAATGGATGGATTCTCAGTTTCGTGCACTCCAGGAACAATTATCGTCGCATACAGTCACAAAAAAGTGAGAGAAAAAAACAGCATTGTAAATTCAAGGGGATGTGGAGTAAAGGCTTGAAAATGAATATCAATTGCTTAAGAAATTCAAGAAGTTTTCTCTAATGGATGTCTTTTGAGTTAGAAATCTCGAAAAATAGGGGATGACGGACAAACGATAGGCATTGGTACAAGCATATATCAGTTTATAACGACATCTAGTTACAGAAGTGGATATGCATTGTTTAAGTTCTTTGTGTAATGGGTGAGTGGTGTCTGATAGAATATTGTTACAGAAGTTATCGCAAGAGGTAAAATGTTTATCGGCGATAAAGTTAAGCAAGTGCAAATAAGGAATACCGCATGTGCGAGAAATAATTTTAATAGACCGGCGTAGAATTGGGTAATCTTTTGCTCTAAGGTCGGCAAATAAAACTGGGGAACAGTAGAGAAGATGAGTGACAACACAAGAATATACAAATCGAGTGAGTAAATACAGTGGAACTTTAAAGAAGGCAAGCGGGCAATAAAGGAACACAACCGTTGAATCTTTACAAAAGTAGAATTTAAATGTGAGGTCCAGGTGAGATCTTGGCTGATAGTGACACCGAGGTATTGTAGATAATTTACTCTGGGAACAGGCTGGTTGTCAACATAGAGCGCAGGACAATTCCTTTCAAAATAATGTAGCCGTTATTCTTTGGTGAGCGAAAAGGTGACATTTCTACATTTAGAGGCAGAGAGATAACCTGGAAGACGAAGACCATAAGTTTAAGGTAGATAAATTGGTTTGAAGACGTGAGAAGCCGAAACCACCTTGGAATTTGGAACCTGTTGTGACAACATCAGCGTACTTAATAAGATCATTTGAGTTAGTGGGAAGGTTACGAAAATAGAAAGAGAAAAGAAAGGGGGACAGAATTGCTCCCTGGAGCACCCCTGAGTTGACTGGTAGGGAATCAGAGGTTTTTCCGGGAAACTTTGTGAACTGTGTTCTACCAGTAAAATAATCTTGAAGTAGAGGAAGGGTATTATGGGACAATCCAGCAACTTGGAGTAGAGACAAAAGCCTGCTCCTGTCAACACATTCAAAAGCTGTACCATATTCGAGGAAACACACGAAACGTCCTGCCGTGCATGTCTAGGGATCAAAGAACTGATCAAAATTTGTATCAGAGACCATTTCTCTCAGTGTACCAGGTCATACAGCCTGTGAAAAATCTGTCGGCTAGATGTACGTGTCAGTGTACTATGATGTTTCTTTGAATAGACTTTCAGTAAAACGTTGATGAAACAACGATCGGAGTTTGCCAGAGGGGCTCCTCTTCACATAGCAAACAGGTCAGGATCGTTCGAAAACATAAGATCAAGCTGCGCGTTTCCTCTTGTGGAGAAATTTACAAGATTGTGGAGAGAGAGAAGTCAAGAAATGAATATCTCCATGGTTAAAATCACCACTAACAATAAAAAGAAAGCGCTCCGTGTAATTAGAAAGTTCGGATATAAATACATCAGCAAACGTCTGTACATCAGAAGTTGTATGTAAATGTTTGATGCCACAATGGAACGATATTTACTAAGGAAACGGGGTTTACATTCACCTATGTTGTAGATGAAGGTAATCTTTGTAGACTTACATCAAGACGGTTTGATGTAGGTTATTAGACCGCCACCTCGATTTCGTAGTAAACAGTCTCTATCCAACTGATGCTTATCACAGAAATCCACCTAAACCAAAGGGTCGTTGATATCAGGATGCAACCACGTTTCGTGCTGCATAATTATCCCTAATGCATGGTATTTTTTCGTCCTAATCAGTTTCGTGAAGACGCTTACTTTTCCAAATAGTGATCGTATGTTTGATGGACAACTAGCAGGGATAGACTATTTCTGAGGTTTTGTGTTAGGTAAAGCCACTTACCAGCCAGCTCGGTGTTTTCTGAGGAAACCTGACCTTAACGACTGAACTGATAGAGGATGCCACTCCTGCGCGCCAACACATAATGTTTTAAATTCTCTAAAGATTCCGGAGCGTAGATAATCATGAAAGCGATGAAAAATAAACTTGATTCAAACAATTAAATCCAATCTGTGACGTAAAGGTTGTTGAATTAACCATTGGAGCACAAATTTAGCTCGGCTGAAATTTGAAGTCCCCATCGAACACTTCAGTTCAGTTCAGTTTGTACAACCATTAACCACGCATATTCGTGCACCGGTTTTGGTTGCTGTCTTTTGGCCGCCCATTTGGATGAAGAATAGGAGAAAGGAAACTTGAAAGTGGAGTCGAAAAGAAAATGCAGAAGTTCAGTCATCTAAGGCTGGAAAGAAATTGGAGATGCACGAACGCCACTGTTTACGACACCCAGCCATATCGCTCAGTGTCTCTAACCAGCGGTTACGATGCACGAACGCCACTGTTTACGACACCCAGCCATATCGCTCAGTGTCTCTAACCATCGACGATTCGAACAGAAAATGGAGAAGTTCAGTGGACTAAGGTTGGAAAGAAATTGAGAAGATGCAAATGGAGAAGTTCAGTGGACTAAGGGTGGGAAGAAATTGAGAAGATGCACGAACGCCACTGTCGGAGAAGTTCAGTGGACTAAGGTTGCAAAGAAAGTGAGGAGATGCACGAACGCCACTGTTTAAAAGGTTGCAAAGAAATTGAGGAGATGGACGAACGCCACTGTTTACGACACCCAGCCATATTGCTCAGTGTCTCTGACCATCGGTTACGATCATCCCGAGGTCCCCAGCCAGGGAGCCTAACAGGACCTATGTGACCTTCGGTTACGATCATCCCGAGGTCCCCAGCCAGGGAGCCTAACAGGACCTATGTGACCCAGTTACCTGCTTAGGGTTTTCATAGCACGAGCGCCACTGTTTGCGACACCCAGCCATATCAATCAGTGTCTCTAACCATCGGTGACCACTGTTTGCGACACCCAGCCATATCACTCAGTGTAGCTAACCATCGGTGACCATCATCCAGAGCCTAACAGGACCTATGTGACCCAGTTTCCTGGTTAGGATTTTCATACCCTCGTGCCACGTCTTACCTTGACCACCCTTGACTTTTTTCCACTAGGTGTCTGCTTCGGCGAACATCGCTCGCCGTGGTAACCTATCTGGTGACATGCGTACCACATGTCCCAACCAACTTAATCTATGGAGGTCGACCACTTGCTCCAGTGGAAGACCGCGGATACCCAAAACTCTGGGCCTCACCTAAGCATTGCGCATCCGGTTACCCCACCAGATCCCAGACCCCACCAGATATATATATATATATATATTTATATATATATATGTATATATGTATATATACATGAATGATATTTGTTCTAGGTAATGTGTTACAAAATAAAGGATAAGTATCAAAAAATACTTATTCAAGCAGTAACCAAACAAGCACTTTTGATGAGCGACAGGAACCACGAAATAAGGGATGAGCATCCCGGAAATTTTGTCAAGATTCACGCACTACTCACCATACTGCCAGTGTAAATGCATTTATGCATCATTGTCGCCTTGGATTAATACACATCAGTGAAACCGCTTCGTTCTAATCTATGTATCCAAACCTGAACTGAACGGTAGCATTGAAAAACAGCGTTTGAGAGTATCTCATTCTTCAATTACAATCCGTGGATGAAACAATTCCAACTCTTCTACTCTTTCGTCCCCTCTCTCTTCCTCTCTTCTTCACCGTTGATTGTTCAATCCGTGATGAAGACAAACATATTCTTCAGTTGG